GCCCATTATGAGGAGCTCCCACCATCCCTGTGTTGAGTTCCGGGTTTGTACCCCTGCTGTGCAAATTATGCGGAGCTCCCACCATCCATGTGCTCAGTTCCTGGGTCTGTACAGCCGCTGTGTCCATTATGAGTGGCTCCCACCATCCAAGAGCTGTATAATGTATTGTTTCTGGGATTTTGAGTCCACTATAGCCAGTGGCATTGTACATTGATTCCTGTATAATTATTTTGAAACACTTTACATTTAATTATATTGCAATGCACAACACACTTTTTTTTTTCTTTCCTTCCACCGCTCCAAGCTTGCCTGATGTGACTGTGGGGGAGGGGCATTAGAGTGTTAGCTCCTCTGTACACAGACTGATGTGAAGGTGGGGGAGGGGACATTAGAGTGTAAGCTCCTCTGTAGGGTACAGATACTGATGTGACCGGCTCAGTGTTGCCTTACAGCACTGCAGGATATGTCAGAACTATATTATAATACCAGTGTGATTGGCTCAGTGTGGCGGAGGTGCGGCGGTGTGCAACGTTGTGCGGTGCCCCTAAAAGCCATTTAAGGGGCAGAAAAATTGATCATGGCTGGGAATGACTAAATCGTACCATGTTCCTGATCATGCATGGTCAACGTTTCAAGGGATAAAACAATATTCAGAAAAGATTTTAATGTCCCTTTAATAGTGAAGAAGACTACAGCACACCAACGAGAAATGCCAACGGTGGCAATTCTGCTGCGAACGTACGTAACATCGTCCGTTCGTGCGCACGTTCGGCCAACATACGCATTTCCGAATTCTATATCCGAATTCCGAAACCGAAATCCGAATCCGAAATTCGTTTACGAAATCCGAATCCGAACAAAATCCGAAACCGAATCCGAAATATGAAACGAAACACACAGAGTACCCGCAATGAGAAAAACGAAACAAACGAAATCCGAAACGAAACATAACAAATTTTTTCCGGCTGCACATGTCTATTCCTTACTGACTAGGATCTTGGACTGGTTTCACGGTGCACCACACAAACAATGGGTGTGCTTGGAAATCTCAACCTCCCCACTACACCCTACGGCGGCCCTGTGGGTGCCTTTACCGGACATGGGTGGCAGCGCAGAATGGCCCCTTCTTGTTTACTTTGTACTGAGGTGTTGGCATCACTCTCGCACGCCTTCACAACTCTCTTCTTTACCGAGCCCCTTGACTCCCATACTAAACAACCTTCACTTCCCACCTGGTCTCCACGCTCCTTCCTTCCTTGGCTGGAATCGACAGTTCTGGCCACAAATGCGCCACACTATTTGCGGTAATGATATGATTTCCTACCAGACGTTACTTGCTCAGAACTCCTTAGATGGTCGAGCGTGGATGCCATACCTTCAATTGTCTAGCTACTGCCGCTCCATACGCTCCTCGCCCGACGTATCTAGGGCTCTCACTCCATTTGAACAGCTATGTGCCACTTCAATTCCCCCCACACACCTCATCTCCTTACTATACCAACTGCTTCTTACCCTCTTACACTAACGCGTGGACCGAGGATGTAGACTCCGCCCTCACTCCCACTGACTGGGATAAGGTCTTCATCTTTACACATACATTGGCAATGTCGTGTAAACTGCAGGAGCGCAATTTTAAGCTACTTTCCAGGTGGTACTTTACTCCAGTTCGATTGCACCATATGTTCCCTTCGATGACACAGACCTGCTGGAGATGTCAAGCTGCTGACGGTACGTACTTACATATGTGGTGGTCCTGTCCTCTGATTAAGAGGTTTTGGGACGCTGTGTTGGCCTTATATGATAGGGCGCACTCCACGACCACACGAAACACTCCTGCCCTGGCCCTCCTGACACTGCTGTCTTCCCCGATCTCAAAGGCGAAGAAATCCCCCCTGTGGTTCTTCCTCTTTGCAGCCAGGCAGGTTATTGCAGGACACTGGAAGTCCACCCTGGTCCCCCCTTGTCGGCATGGTTGACCTGTCTAAATGATATTATGCGCATGAAAGAAATGGTCGCCTTAGATGCAGACCGTATGGCATCCTTCCGCGACCTATGGTTGCTTTGGATTTGCTTCCAAGACTCCGCTGCTTTCCCGGCAGTATTGGCCTCAGTCCCATAGATGGGGTGGTTCCTGCGGTTGTCACCTCGCCCCCTATATATGCTATGGCCTTGACCCCATTCTGTATGTCCTCTGAATTCCGATATCTAGCTCAATGAATCCACAACTCCTACTCACCTCCGCTGTTGTCTTTGTTATGTTATGTCGCCTTGTTTTGTCTTGTACTAAGTCTTTCGGTCTGTCTCCCCCTCCTTCTCTGTTTATTCGGGCCTATGGCACTGTTAAGGGCTCACAATGGTTTGTAGTATGCCTTTTAGGCTTCCTATGCGTATGATATGGGCTCAGTACATCTCCATGATTCTGTTAGCCTATGCTGAGTCCTGTGGACAGCTATGACTGTATGCCTGTTATTCCCATGTACACATGCTTTATGTTTTATTGTTTTCTCGCAAAATTAAAAAACTTTGATTTGATCAAAAATCGTGCCG